ACTCACCTATCTAAGACAGCTATGTTGTTGAGATTCCAAGGGCTTGCAGCATAACGCTTTGCCTCTTCTAATTGTTCTGCTGTACCTACCAAGGTCTTAATTCTGCCCCAAGTTGGAAAACCTGATCCAACATCGCTCGAGTGAATATCAGCACCATACTCAACAACAACATCTTCGTTATATTCTTGTAGAATACGCCAAAATTCAGACTCAACAGCGGAATAAGTCATTGACTAGTATATGGACATGAAAACAATACACAAAAATTAATAAGCGAAGAGTATGCTGGCAAAAAATAAAATAAAACCTAGGAAGTAGCAATGCAGATGCAGCAAAGGCGCTGCATCTAGCTTTTGAAATCATATAGGGAAATGTGAATTTAATACGATAAGCGGTAGTTACTGAATTGGCATATAAGATCTTATGAAGTATCTAACATGACTTACACATGGCTCAGTACCAAAATATTTTGCCTTGAATTGATCAGCCTGAACACCAAATTCGTAAAGAGTGTATGTTTTTTGTGATTGCGGGAAACCATATAGCTCGTTTGGAAGGGTGCACGCACGTCTGACACAATCAGGACATTTCCAACGACATTTAGGTACGGAGGTAAGGGGTGGAGTCAGACAGTAGAGATGATAGCACGCTTGACAAGAATCTGTATCGCATATTAAAAGATCTGCTTCATCATCTCCTGATCCACAAACACGACAACTGAATTCTTCTAACTATTTATAAAAGGCAGCAAGAATAGAAGAGCTTGTGAGCAATTTTAAGATTACAAATAGATCATATTCTGTAATATAACCAGTGGATGTTTGCCTGTCTGCACGTCTGATTGAGAATTGATACCGACACTCAAATATGAAATTTGGACGTTTTAGATAGATGTAAGTTTAAGTACCTGAAAGAAAGTATTATAGCCTGAATGAATATGAATCATAAGGCACTTCTGTTGTCGCCAAATTATAACAGACAATAAATTACAACTAAGACATTATAGTATGTACTTGAAAAGAAAGCTATGGTAGTTTAACCCATTAATAATAAAATCCAGCCCATCCCAGTGAAAGACAAGGTAGGCGACTCACAACCAAGCATTGTCTGAGACAATATGACGGATATGAATTGAAAGAAAATGCACGTTTCCGTTAGTTATTTAAGGTCAAGAAAGACGTAACTTACGTTAGTACTGCAATTACGGTCTGAAAAAGAAGTTTTGTTATCTGAAATAATGAAGCTGACCAAAAAAGTTATGAGCTTACCAGTGTTACCACCAATGATAGGAACTGTCGCTTTGGGGCCAGCTCCAAAAAATCTAAGGTTTTTAAGTTCATTATTGGCTGAATAATTTATCTCCTGAACATCCTTTTTAAAAATGTTATGGAAACTGAGAAAAACTCACATTTACTATAGTCATTCGAGCGCGTTTCAATGGTGACTTTTTTGCCTCATTTTTATTCTAAAGGATTAAATAAAATTGAGCATACTTCGTCATTTCCCCCATTCGCATTAACGACAACATCAAAGCCAAGCAATATCCTCTCATAGTTTTGTTTGATAACGGAAGCATGACGAGTGGCCTGATAGCCTAACTTTTCGGCAATGGTAGGCCAAATCCGCAAATCAGAAACGCTTTGGTAACCTCCATTTTCAGTGACCAACTTATAAAGCTTAAAAATGTCAAGATATTTTCCTGCTATACTCGGCACACGAAGTTTATCACCGCCCTGGAGTGTTAATAAATTATAATAAAGAAAACCCCACCTGTAGCCTGACAAATTGATACAGCTTGCTGATAAAATTGAGTTTTATTCTCGATTGAGCCTGGATTAATCAGAAGCAAAATAAATTACCTCTAATTCATAAAGCCTTTGAATTCTTGGTTTAAAACGAAACTCATTGATGTCGACAGCAAACGGGGGATTCCATGTCTGGGAAGCAAAGGATAAAAATGGATTCAAGTGTGGCTACTTATAACGAATATAAGTAGAGCTAATGTAGTTAAGACAATCATATATTGATCAAGAAGCTTCGTGGGTGAATAATAATTCTCTGTGCATCACTAAGTTACCTTTGGTGGAACAATCTTGCATATTCCGGTCTTGAATGCGATCGGGCGAATTTTCGCTATGTAATCCAGGGGGTCTTTGAACTCCTCTTCATTAGGCCGAAATACTGGGGCCTCGGGAGGGGGGACGAACAAGAAATGGCCATTCATGGTATAAATGCAAAGGAAGTCACATTGAATGGACGGCAGGCGCCATGAAAAAGCCAAGAGAAACCAGGGGCACGTCAGAGGGCCAAACCTCAGCGTGATATACTATAGTGAGGAGGCACGGTTAAAAGAATTTATGAAAAACTCGTGGGAAATCCAATCAGAGCAATATAGTGAACAAAGATGATGAGAACTTGGATTTCACTCAGGTGGTAGAGAAATCAAGCAATGTAAGAGCACAGCGCTTCTAATGTATGCAGTTTATTTATATAAAAATAGAAGAAATAAAAATGATAATTCCTATGAATGAGAAATGGGATATGTGAATCAGGAGTATAGTTAAATCAAAAGACAAAGCGAGCAAGATAGTGATGCATGCATGGTTTGGCAATGTAAATGAGATGACACTAAGTTCAAAAGATGAATAATTAGAAATTAATAAATTAAAAATAAAAACAAATAGAATAAAGGATAATGGGCACCGAAACGCCCTCGTCAGCCAATATATAAAATCTAATCAGAAAGGCGTGCTTCCGTTTTTATTTATTAAATGTGTCACTGCAATTAGCTTTATTTATTATGTTATTTAAATTAAAGCACCCGCCTTCATTAGCACGCTTAGAGCGCCATACAAATGGCCCTTGTGAGTCTGCATCTTAGCAACAAGCCGTTTGACCTTTTGCTAATTTAACTTATATTGCCTATACTTTTTTAACCCATAGATTAATAAAAATGCGCAAGACGTTGCTATCAGGGAGATAACTCGAATTGAAAGAATTGGTGCACATTCCCATATTCGAGGTTTAGGACTAAACGATGAATTGGATGCTCGTAAAAATTCCCAAGGCATGGTTGGCCAGTGTAAAGCAAGAAGAGCTGCTGGTGTTATTTTAAGCATGATTCGCGATGGTAAGATTGCAGGTCGTGCAGTCCTTCTGGCTGGTCCTCCGGGAACTGGGAAGACAGCTATAGCAATGGGAATGGCTCAAGCCCTTGGTCAAGATACTCCTTTTACAGCAATGGCTGGAAGTGAGATATATTCCCTCGAGATGAGCAAGACAGAAGCCTTAACTCAAGCTTTCAGAAAGTCAATTGGCGTTAGGATAAAGTAAGTCCATCTGTGTTCTATTCGGATATTTAGAGAAGAAGCAGAGATTATCGAAGGAGAAGTGGTGGAAATTATTATCGATCGACCCGCAACTGGAACTGGTGCAAAAATAGGAAAGCTTACGCTTAAGACAACGGAGATGGAAACTATTTATGATCTTGGTCAGAAGATGATTGACAGCCTGACAAAAGAAAAAGTTCAAGCTGGGTAAACAATCTTTATGCTTACCTAATACGAAAGAGATGTAATTACTATAGACAAGCCTTCGGGCAAAATTACCCGACTTGGACGGTCGTTTACGCGTGCTCGCGACTATGATGCAACTGGAAGTCAAACCAGATTTGTACAGTGCCCAGAAGGCGAACTTCAAAAGCGAAAAGAAGTTGTTCATACCGTTACTTTGCACGAAATCGATGTAATTAACAGCAGGACTCAAGGATTCTTGGCTTTATTTAGTGGGGATACTGGTGAAATAAAATCAGAAGTCCGTGATCAGATTAATGCAAAAGTTGCTGAATGGAGAGAGGAAGGAAAGGCTGACATTGTGCCTGGAGTATGACCATTACTATCCTTTATTTTTAGGTGCTCTTCATTGACGAAGTTCATATGCTTGACATTGAGTGTTTTTCTTTTCTCAATCGCGCCTTAGAGTCAGATTTGGCTCCTATTCTTATCATGGCTACTAATCGGGGTATAACAAGGCATGTCATTTCTCTGAACATTTTCATGATACATTAGGTCCATGCATGGGCATTCGTTATCATCCATCTTACCTCAACTTTCTATTATTTTTAGG